ATTACTTTATTTAATTATTACTTTAATCACTTATAAAAATTTCATATTATGTATTTAATATTAATTGGTTCTGTATATTATTATTTAATATTTCATTACATTATTTAATTATTTAATATCTTTAATTTTTTTATATATATTATTTATTTAATATTTAATTACTTTATGTAATTATTTATTTAATCGCTGTGTTTAAATAAAAAAAAATTGTATTTTATTTGATTTCTTATTTAGATATTTCATTAATTAATTATCGTAATTGGTTGTGTATATAATTAGAAATTTGTCAATCATCAAAATGATCTTTTGCTGATTTAAAGACAAAAATATCCTTAAATAGTTCATACAATTACAAAGATATAATTTTGTTTAAAAAGATGAAAATACCCTTAAGTTACAAATTAAAAAATCAAAGACTTTTCACTTTATATTTAATTACTTTATTTAATTATTTATTTTAAACACCTACTCAAATAAAAAAATTAATATTTAATTTACTTTCTTGTTTAAATATTTCATTAACTAATTATCTTAATCGGTTATGTATATTATTTATTTAATATTTAATTACTTTATTTAATCACTTGTTTAAATAAAAAATTTATATTTAATTTATTTCTCATTTAAATATTTCATTAATTAATAATCTTAATCGTAATTACAAAAGAAATTAAATGTACAATATTTGATATAAAATTTACAATTATTTCTTAATTACAAAAGAAATTAAATGTACAATCTTACAAAATGAAATTCACAGTTATTTTAATTGTTTATTTAATTATTTATTTTAATTGCTTGTGTATATTATTTATTTAATATTTATTTTGTTTATTTAATTAATTATTTATTTACTTTATTCAGTCACAGTTGTATTCAAAGGTCGATCGACATCGTCTGACTTTCGAAGCCAAAGTGATAAAGAATCAATAATTTGGCTGAAAAATTGCATGTCCTTCAACGGATAGAAAGACCATAGGAATGATTAACGGAGTATGACTATATGTTCCTCATCGAGTCCCTCCAATACCGATACAATGTAACTTTTCCCAAAAATGAGCTCTCATGATATTGTCTAGGTGGGACTTCATTCTGCAAAATTAATACACGTTAAAAACATTTATAAGAAATTATTAACATTTATCATATTTTAAAATTTAACAAATCAAATTACATGCATTAGTACGTAAGAAATAAAATCATTTCCTCGCACATTAAAAAGAGTAAATAAAAATTAAATAATACATAAATTGAATTAAATTAAAGAAAAAAATTAAAAGAAAAAAAATGAAAATGAAAAATAAATTATGGAAAACGAATTAAATTACGGACCATCTTCGTCCGTTGTGAACCCATATGGTCCGTTACGGACCACCTTTGGTCCGTATGATCCATTACGAATTGTACGATGGTTCGGATCCCGACGCTCTAGACCCGATTTGACGAGAACTCCCTACTCGTCGGAAAACTCCATTTTCGACGAATTTCAATCATTTTTTTCATTTTTCTTAGTCATTTCAACCTCAAATTCGATATTTTCTTCCATTTTAACTATAAATAAACTTCAAAATTTGTTTTTAACTCATAATAAATAAATTTTCAAATTTCAAACATTAACAGCAACAAAAAATATTTCAATGAAGAATAAGAAAAAAGCTAAACCCTTTGAAAAATGACGATCTCAGGCGATGCTCCGATATTGATCGTCCAGTGTCATTAATGAGATTTTGCTTTTTCATTTTTTTCTCTTCTTTTCCTCTTCTCTTCTTTTTATTTGAGGGTATTTTCGACTATTTGGCTTTTGTTTGCATTTTTAGCATTTGTTTTTTTTTTTTTTTAAATTTGGTCAAAGGCCCTTTTGAAAAAATGGCCAGGTCAACCGGCCATTGGCCACTATTTCCTCACTACTACACCACCTAACCACCCACCCCAACCTGAAGCCCCACCTAATGTAATTTTAGATAAAAGAAAAGGTCTAAAGCAAATCTCTCTATCAACAAATTTATATAGCACTGGTAAATTAGTTTTAGAATTTAAGAAATTGAAGTGAACTTTGTAATATCATAAGATTTTGTCACTTCAATTTGATGTACAGAATCTAGCTACATAAATTCAACTAGAAATCAATAGGTCAACGTACAATAGTTTTATTACCAGAGACCAGTAACATTAATACATGGGCTAGCACGTAGATTATTGCCTAAGCAAACTTATGGAACTCAAGATCTGACTTTGATATTAATAGAACTCCATAGCAAGATCTCATAACCCATAAATGATGAAGTATGAATAAAAAGAATGTGAGATGCGTTATTATCACAGAACATAGACTCTTATTACAACAAAAAAAAAAATAATAATAATAATAATAATAATAATAAAAAATAATAAAAAGAGTAAAAATAAAGAGTCAAATTGAAAATTTTTAAAGGGATTGACAACTTTTTGCTTCCTTCTTGGGGGCTTCTCCGGTGGTGGTCTCTTCCTTCTTTGGTTCCTCTGGTGGTGATGGTGGTGGTCGTAGCGACGGTCCTAAATTGATAAGATAAATTCAATAAATCAATGTCTCACTTTCTCTTCATCCAACTCTTGATAAAACTAAATGGATGGCTTTTTAAGGCACTTGGTGGGTTTTTTGGGCCTTTTTTTATGAGGCTTCGAAATCCTGAAGCCCAGGTCTTTGCCTAGTCGGCCTTGGGTCAGGATGGGGCCTATTTGTTGGCTGTCTATTTCAATGAATTTGATTCATTAAAAACTTATCAGAAAAAATTCTATAAGGAAAAAATTCAATGAAAGAAAATATGTACACCATTCTTGTGAATTTGCAATGAATGTTGCCTCGTTAAAAACCTTATCAAGCAAAATTAGTAGAACAAAACCTCATCAAAGAAAAAGAAAAAGAAATTAAGAGAGTACGTTACTTTAGTCCTCCTTATGATAACATCATTTGAGATCTCTAAACCGACGCAGTCGCACTAGGTAATGCTTTTGTAAACAAGTCCGCTAGATTATCTTTTGAACGATTTTGTTGAACATCAATGCAATCTTTTCACAAGATCATTGATAACAAAAAATTTCGATGAAATATGTTCCTCTCAATCTCACTTAATAAATCCTCCTTTGAGTCGAGCTATTCATGAAACATTATATTCAATCAGTATTGTTAGAATTCTTTGCTTGAAAACAAATCATACGTCTTTTGAAATTGTTCGATCATTGACCTCAGCCATACACGTTCTTTACTTACCTTATTTTAAGAAGTGAAAGTCTAGAGGTCTATTTTGTATATGTTCATGATACATCAATTTCCCTTAGAACGAGAAACATAAAAAAAACTTGAACAATCTTTTGGTTCTTCAATAGATTTCCTCAAAAACTTTCTTCATTATAATTGATACAAGATGGTCTAACTCATCGTGCCTACTTTGACTTATTGAACCTCAGATTCAATATTCTATGAACTTCAGTTATTCTATACTAGTTGAACCCAAAAAATCTGATGTAATATTCTAAAATACTTTCAATGTCAACCGTCATTGAACTTGTGATCAATGTGCGCGCACGTGTATATATATAACCAAATTTTCAAAAAAAAAAAAAAAAAAAAAAATACAATTCTTTCTGAAAATAAAAATGAAATCCAGACCCCCTCTTTGGAAAATCATCGACAAATATTAAAAAGCACGTAATATCCCTAAAACCAATACAAAATATATACTAGACAACATTAAAATCGCATAGGTGAAAATCAGTAAAAAGCAGGGCAACACTGCTCATGAAATTTTAATTGCAGTGAGATTATATCAAATAAAATAACTGTAATTCCAAAAAACCTCAGTATACCGCAATAATGAAATCTTGATCATTGTTAGATTATAACAAATAACTGTACTTCCAAATAACCTCAGTATACCGCAACACAAATAACCTCAGTATACCGCAACACAAATATAGCCCAACACCTCCACAAAACCAATAGAACATCTCTCTGTAGCCTCTCTTTACAATGTTCAAAGCTCGCATAGAAAGAAACGCCATGGATAACAGAAAATAACCGAAAACTGGGTAAAATGGAATGGAACAAGAAAGGCAACTATAAACCAAAACTTTTGCACGTGACAGAAATTACCAGCGCCACTTCCAGAAAGCAAATGCAAACTTATTTAAGCAAATTTGGTGCCGAAGAAACCATTAGATCTTGGAACTGGGATGACAGGGAAGTAAGGTTGTGAAATGGGCATGGGGCTTGGGATTGTAAATGGCTGTTGTCCGCTGGCTATAATTGGAGGATTCACGCACAGCTGCAGTGCCTGAGCAGTAGCACTTCCTGTAAAAAGACTCATTTTTGGTTAAACATACCATGAATGTTCCACAACACTTGAATTATTATAGCGATTCTACGCAAATGCCAATTATTGAGACCAGCAGACTGGGAAATTACCCAATGACTAGGAAGCAAATCAAGGCCATCGCCCGCTCATCTTCACAACCATTTAGCCACATGTATTTTATTTCAACTGAATTTTCATATCAATAACTAACAGAACACAGTAACACCGTCCACAAATGTACACTTCAGGCAACACAATTTTTAACTTCAATAAGGCAACGAAATCAGAACATTCTCACAAAACAAAGGAACTTGAGCAATTTTCCTTGAGCAGATCAAGTGTCTACTTCTAATCGAAGATCTCCCAAGTTCCATTTTCAACTCATTTTAAGAGTAAATATTAATACTTTCAGAATTTTATTACAGCATACAAAGTGACATTTTATAATTCACATATTATTTGAAAAACGAACATCATCCTTTCACTAGTAGCCAATAAAAAGAACGCTTAAACATCAAAACTCTGGGAAACAAAACAAGCCACCAATCTTTTACATGCATAAAGTTGAAAAAAAAGGGAACTGAAATTATTCGCAACAAACCTTGGTGCTTGGGAAGATGATGAGGAGTCAAGAGAGGTCGCATAGTTGCTTGAGAAAACCCTGCTGCACCCTGAACGAAATCCTTACACAATCATAAAAAAGAAACAATAAGGAAATCTCACGGGTGTGGATCAAATGAACAATGAAAATAGAAAAGGATTAAGTTTGAAAATGAATATAACAAGAAAGAGATGGAAGTAAGTTCCAACTAAAAACAAAGGCAAATTTGAACAATTGAACTGAACAAGCAAGTGGGAATGCAATTGTTAAAGATATATCTTGCAGTTTCTTCCCTGATGGCATGTTTAACTTCCATATGCAGAAGGCGTGAATTTTTTCCTTGACATGCTCAGTAATCTCTATTTCAGATGTCATATGAGACCAGTTCACAAGAAAAACCGACACAGATATGGTGTTGTATCTTACATTAGAAATGGGATGCATACAGACAAGAGGCCCCACTCGTCCAAGCATAACCTAGTAGCATCATTTAATTAAAACATCAGCTATCGTGTTGCAAAACAATTTATATAGCAATAATGATAATGCATGAAATGGAGTGTAAAGGACTGTAGGACATACATTCTGAGGATTAGAATGCACATAGGCAGGCCTAACAGGCTGCATCCGGCTTACCACTTGTCCAATGAACTACACAGAGAAAGAAAAGTGAACTGCGAATTATGAGTAGCAGAAAGTATTTTAGGACAACAGCTTTCAGCGCAGACTGGTACAAGCGTATATAATCACGAGCAATCAATTCACATCCTTGCTCTCTTTTCAGCTGTTTGATTTGGGGCAACTTAACATTGCTCCAACAGTTGAAAGCCACAACACACGCCCTCTCTTCTAACCCCACCCAAATCCCTATAAAATCTGAAGTCTTAAATAATTTAAAACAAATAAATCGGAGTGTAAGAATGAAATAGAGAGAGATCTACGAACACATTAGTCAGTAAGAGTTCCGCACATGTAGTAATCATTTTCTATTCCATGTTCTCGTGACAAAAGGAAAGTAAAATCTCACTCAATTAGAATAATTATATGCATTATCATAAGGGCAAACATACCGGCTGAACATATGGTGTTTCGGTGCCGCCATTTCCAATTACTACGTTACCACATTGAACAAACTTAACAGGAACAGCAGAACGAGGAGCAGGTGAACTGATGTCAACTTCTTGTTGTGCAGTAGCAATTGGTACCATGGCATGGTGGTCTGGTAAATAAGCAACGGTTGCTCCTGTTGGCACCACTGGAGGAGTCACTGATCTATGGTGTAACAGCGATGGCACCGCTGGAGGAGTCACTGATCTATGGTGTAACAGCGATGGAGTAAATATTTTTGCTCCAGGATTCAGCTTAGATTCCTGAAGAAAAAGAAACTGTATCATGAAGCTTCTTTATTGAACACTTCTAACTTGTCTGGCATTTATGACAATTATTATACATCAAATAGAAGTATAGAACAAAGGTTTTTCTCTGGTCTAATTAAGTTCAAGTTCAAGTTCTTACTATATTTTCCAAAAAACAACCCAACAATGACTCTGATACTAAAATCTCGAGGAAATATTGACAGTCTAGCAATAGAGTGAAGCTTATCCCAAACACACAAAAATGTTGAGTAAGGTTATCAAAAATTTACGTGGTTCAGAGTCCTGATTCTCAGCTGAACTCAATAAAGCCTTACTATACTCATTTAGGCCCATCCTTATGATTTTCCATCCTCATTAATTTAAACAATTAATGGTTATCATAAGATTTGTTAGCTACAACTTCAAAGGTCTAAAATCCCAGTTACCTTAGCAGTTCTATTAAAACTTGAAAGATTTGTAGGCACTGAATGAGTGGAAGTGAAGGATGAACTGAGAAGTGATTCTGAAGCAATATCGACAGTGGATGTGGCAGCTACAGAAACATCAGATGCAGGAACTTCAGAACATTGTGTCTCCTCTAAACTGGGTCTCCCTTGCATCTCATAATCAAGTGCTGCAGGACAAGCAGAAGATACTCCTGTTGGTGCTCTTTGCATATTTGTTACATCAGGAATGCTCTCAGCAGCAGTTGATTGAGTTTCACAAACACCTACTATATGCAAACAACTACAACTAAATACTTGAAGAATAACTAGATAAAACGAAAAAGAAGAGAAGAAGCATCCACTAAATAGAAACTCACAGTCTAACCCAGTCAAAGTAGTAGGAAAGGTAGGAACAGGAACTTGAACGAATTTAATATCATGAACAAGGACAGAAGTTTCTAATTTACAGGTCTACCAAGGATAACCATTGCATTTAGGCATATCAACTAACAAAGTCCTGATAACCAATTCTGTCATTCAGAAAGTTTGTTTCAAATATTGTTGTAAAGGCTTAAACTACCAAAGTTTTCAGGATCTCAGAGGTTAGTCTAAACTTCATTCAAATCTCGATTCAGTTTCCAATTGGCAATTACTAATGAATAGTTGTGAGTACAGTTTACTGGTCTTCGTTTAGATCAATCGTGGTTTGAGTGGATAGTGAAATTTCACTTACACGAATTTAAGCTTCGTTTTTATTATTGAAGACTTAGTAACAACTTCAGCAAACGTACTTCACATTAACTTTGCTATGCAATTCCAACCCTAGTCATAAAATTGTAATACCTGAGCAATTGTGGGAGTCAATGGGCCATCATTTTTCGCTCATATTAATTCTGCAGTTCCATCCTTCAAATTCATCAAGAAGATGTTTGACTTTTGTTTCACTATAAAACTACCTTATCAACTTCTCTTGAAATCATAATCCTAAACACTTGAAAGCTACTAAAGTCCCTAAAACGTCATCCAAAGGTGCTGCTTACATCTCCCTTAACATACCAGAAATGTCTTCATTGTTCTATTGAAAACAAACCCATCTATTACAAGCACCAAACACTTCTCAAATTTTGGCCAACAGGAAACAAAAACAGCCAGCTACTCATTATCTTTCCCGTCCAGCGACAATTATAGTTCAAAGTCAGAGACATGCTCATCTTGTTGAGCCATCAAGGTCCAATGCCCCAATTGCCCTGGTGTACCCCGAAAAAATACATCTATGAAAAAAAATATGTGCACAACACTCAAAAAATCCACTTCCTACCATGGCAGATGTTCGATGAATGATATTTTATCAAATTATTTCAACTAATAAGAACACAAGTGAGACTTACTGCTTAAGCCTCGAACTTCATTGCTCTGCAAAGTAGAAAGACATGAAATTATGTAAATCTAGTAGAATAAACATAGAAGGAAACAATTTTACTGAATGCATTGAGCTTATGTTGATACCAACGTACAGTTTTCTCAGCTAGAAACTCGAGTTTATCCCTGCAATCCCTTTGTTTGTCCTGTGAGCCATCCCCAACCTGCCTGTCATTAATAATTAATAGAATGTGTTGATGAGATAACAAACTTACTAAGATCAATATCAAAAACAAAAATAGTAGAAAAGACGTAGAAGGAGAAAGAAGAAAGACAAGCAGTAAAAATGATTCTTTAAAAGAACAGCTATAAACAGGTAAATTGCAAAGAACTGGGTGAATACTGACTGTCCACTATAATAACCACATAAAAAAATGCTGAAACACGATCACTAGTAGCAATTTTGTGCAACATCAGCAGAATATCAGTTATTCTTCATAGAAACTTCATTAATGAGGGTTTCGGCACGCATTTGCCATCAAGCTTAGAGGAAATAAAGCCAAAAAAATGCCAACACATGAAGACACGCCAAAACTAATGGATATGCAACAGAGAATTTTACAGAAGAAGAAAAGCAATTTTAATGGTAGTCTCTACCTTCCATCAACTGAAACAGCAAGTAATTCTTGTTTCTGCATCAGCAAAAGATTGGTAAAATATTAATCCAACCACCTCAGAGTTGAAAGTGGCTCTAATGATATGCAGCAGGAAATTAGAAAAATGCTCAGGCACAAGTACGCAAAACGGAACAAATTGCATATTTCGTTCCATTTTACAAAACAGTAGCCATGCATATTTCTAATCGACGGGGATGTTCACCATTTTTTTACTTTAATAATATTCACCTCTGAAAAATCTCTTAAAGAATTGGCTGTGGCATTTGCCTTCTTAGCTGTAGAAATGCAATCAAAACCATTCTCCTTTTTGGCAGAAGACCTGCATGTAAATGGTATCTTAAAGACTTTATACTCCACAATTTCTCTATTTATCAGGATGGACTCCAGAAACTAATTTCTGAAGCAACTAATTACCGAAGCGTCTTACTGAAATCTATATGCAATCAATATTGGATAATTTTTATTTTTTTTTTAAAATTATTTGTGTGTGGTTGGTAGGGTGGATTTGGGGTCCCAGAATTTTTTTTTAACTACTTAATAGTCCCACCCCAAAAATCTCTTATTCCTCCTCAGTCCATTTTCTCATTCTGCCTATCAATCAATACCAAGTGACATAGATGAAGATGAATCTTGAGTTGCCAAATAATATTGGTTGAGAACAGTGTTGTAGACATTTTACCTTGTTTGACTTTTGTGCATTTTATCCCCATTGGACTCATTCGGTTCTGTCGCTTTCACCTCTCTCTTTAAGCATTCATTGATGTCTGCAATATCCTCTACACTATCACTCCATACATATCCGGTAATTCCATTTGCAGGAAGAGGAACTCCCTAAACATGTACCAAAATTTATTACAGAAAACTCTCATCAGATATCAAATCATCAAATGTATTGGAACTTCCAAAAATGAAAATAAAATAAAATAAAAAATAAATCAAAGCTACGTGCCTTTGCAACAACTTGTACAAGATCTTCTGATTGAACTATAAGTGTCTCTATCAAACTTCCATTCATTACATTTGTACCTCGATTCCCCTTCTTAATCATCCTCGCTTTCTTCAGGACAATAGCTAGACAAAATACAAATCAATCCAATTAATAAACATATCTATTGAAGTTTTCTTCAGTATCTATCATTACACTTTCATTCACTATATAAACATTTTTTATTAGCTATTGTTAATGTATCTACAGAACTAGTCAAAAAACGGAATTCAAAAACTTAAAATTCTGACTTCTCAAATCCAATCAGCAGAAGTAACTCATTTTGATATGAAAAAAGGGAAATTGAACCAATACCCCAGATACCCAACTGAAATACAAATCGAGCAAAACAACGAAGACCCGTCTACCCAAAATCCAGAAAAGATATGACACAATGAACAACACTCGGAATTATATTCAATAAATCAAAGAAACACGGATAGAACATGCCAAAAAGCATAACGACAAATCCCGTGATACCGTAGTCATTGTCAACAGACGCGGTGTGAAAGACTCCAGAATAGACAGAGCCATCTTTGGCATGAACATCAACCGGGAGGCCAATAATGCACATCGTTGCTAATAGCAGAGCATCACTCACTGAAGCCGCCATAGCCGCCTTGCTGTTAGCATCTTCTCCCAATCCTTCCTTCCTGCAACCCATTTGAATTTTTGATCGCTGTACTCTGCTTATTGAATATCTGTATTGTAGGGATTTAGAAATGATTACTGGAACAGAGATTATTGGAACAGAGTATAGAGAATGAATTGGGAAATTGCAGAGGAGATCTGAAGGAGAATGAAACCTGCAGAAATGGTGGCCCGGAGAACAGAGTGAATTTGCGCGCATGTTCCAACTTTCTATTTTATTTTAGAGGGGCTTCCTTCTGCAGAATTTTGACATTATTGCCCTCATACAATCTAGAATATTCTCTTGCCTACCCTGTTTGAAATGATAATTTTGACATCGGATAAAAAATTAATTATCTTGAAATGCGAGAATTTACTTATAATTTTGAGTAAAAATTTACTTAAAAATAGAATAAAAATAAGTTATTTAAATATATTACGGATAAAAAGTAAGCCCAATTTGACAATCATTATTTCAAATATCTCTATTCCACCTACTTATTTTTAGTCTCAAATTCACAAATTAAATATTTTGCATGTAAATTAAATTTTTTTTTTTTTTTTACTCTTCACCACACATTCTCTAAAATTTCACTATTCAAACATTATTTTAAACAAATAATGGTCATCAAATAGGGCCTAATTATAAGTGAGTAAGTCTTTAAGAATAAATATTTTTTTATTAATTATAGTTAAAAATAAGTTATATATATATAAAAGGACTATGCCAGTCTGCCAGAGTCATTTGCACAGATCCTGGTCAGACTATGAAAGGGTGGCATTTGTTTTTTGTCCTTAAAAAATGGGTGTGGCCCCTTATTTAAGAGATAATCTGGGAAGGGTCTGTGCAAATGACCCTAGCAGACTATCATTTTCCTTTAAAAAAATTGGTAAGTTACTCATAATACCCCTAATCCAACATTCCTCTCATTTTGATAGAAATTTGCAACAACAATTTTGATAGAGAAACGAGATAATATAAAATTGAATCCCCTTTTTAATGGGTCTAAATCAAAAGTCGAATATTATGCACTCATAGACGTTCAACCTCATATTTTATTAACTTTTATTATAATTTACAAAAAAAAAAAAAGATTTTAAATCCCAGAAATATGGGCTAAAAGTAGTTTTAAGTGCTTATTTTGGCCAATCACGGTTTGAGTGTTTTGAAATAGGTTTTTTCTCAAAGATATGTTTGCTTATTTCTTAAAAAGAATAGATATTACTTCAAAATGATAATTAGCATAAAACGATCTTACTTTTCAATGTTACTGTGCAAGACCTTTATATATTTCATTTTTTGACATTTTTAACCCTATTTTCATATTTTATTGCGAAAAATGTCATTTTCATTCAATTTTTTAATTAAAAGAACTGTAAAATGATAATTATACTCTATTATTTATTTAAATAAAACAAAAAAAGAAAATTTAAATATTAAATTGTAATTATACCTCCAAACTTTTTTAAAAATTACAAATGAGCCCAAATAAATTATTAAAATGGTAATTAGCACAAAAGTACCTACATTTCAATATTATTGTGTAAAACGTCTCCACCTTTCATTTTATTGACATTTTTACCAATATATTCATATTTCATTGTGAAAATCATCATTTCCTCTATTTTTTTTTTCAATTCAAAGTTGTAAAATGACTAATATACCATATTATTTAAATAAAACAAAATTAAAGAACAAATTGCAGCTATACTCTCAGAATTTTCTAAAAAAGTAAAAAAAGAGACACGTATTGAAATGTATGGACGTTTTGTACTAATTACATTTTAATAGTTTATTTGGACTCATTTGCAGTTTCTTAAAAAGTTTGAGAGTATAATTGTAATTTGTTTTATAATTTTTCTTTTCTTTTTATTTTATGTTATTTAAATATAAATGTATATTTGTCATCTTACACTTTTTTATTGAGAAATTTGATGAAAATGAAATTTTTAGCAATGAAAATAAGAAAATAGGGATGAAAATATAAAAAATGAAGGACCTTCATATATGTAGATGAAGTTTTACATAATGGGTTATGTAATGTCACATATCACTTTATTATTTGCTAGTTTAAAATACAAACAAATTTTTCATCCAATCTTTTCTCTCTATGTAATGTTATGCAATCCATTATGCACTATTTTTATATACAAGTAATATAATCCAAAAACGACATGTAAGGACATTTTGCATAATAACATTAAAAGGTAAAAAAAAATTGTGCTAATTACCCATTTTTTCAAAACTCAACCAAACATGCTACAAATAACATGACTATCAAGTAGGGGTGGTAACAGTTCAGTTCGGCCAAAATCATCACCGAACTTTCAATTTATTGGCCATACCATATACTGTACCATAACCACGTAAGTTAGTTTGATTCACATCTGGATACGACTCTATTAGGACGGTTAATAACAACGAACATGAGCAAATCCAGGATTTCGACCTAACTAAGGCGATGTTGATTGTTAACAGTTAACGGTCATATAATGATGTTATTTGTTAATATCAAATTAAATAATATTAAAAAATTATTCTATCTATATGTAAATGTACTAAAATGTAAAAATTGTATATTTACATCAAATTATAGTACAATACAATTTGAAATAATATAAAATAAATGATACATGAGACTTTTTTGTATTATCAATGTTTAATAAATCGTTTGCTCGACTGGAAGTAGTTACAGGATTAGATGTACCACTACAAGAACTAGGTTGTGATATCGATTGAAAAAATAATTCCACAATCTGTATTAGAATTAAAATTTATTTTAAAATATAATTAAAGTTTCAACTTTCAATTTCCCACACCAATTTATCACAAATTATAAATTCTCCAATTTCTCATTTTCAATTTTTACAAATCACAAATCACATTTCACAATACTCAAATTAATTATTATTATCATAATTAACAGTTGATATATTCTAAAATTCTCGTATAACACATAAAAAAAATACAATACTAAGTCAATTTAGCAAATAATATCTCAAATGAAAATGCAAATAATGTCTCAAATCCCAAATATATCGAAATTAACAAATAATATTATCAATATAACGATACTAAACAATATTATTGTCTACTGATCCTTATGCATCGAATTTGATTCCTACTCAATAACTCAAAAACTCTAACCTGAATTCATATTCAATTTTCATTTATAGAAAAAATAACGGAAAGCCCAATTGGCATATTATTTTTTTTAATCGATTCGGGTTGGGTTGATGGCGTAAATACCATACTCGCCCTGCCCCAAACCGAATTATTAAAATCAAATATCATACGCACCTTATTGTACTATCGATTCGATTTTTTTGGCTCGTTCAATTCGATTAACCGCAATTTTTGATTTTGATGGTTCGAATTGTCATCACTACTACCAGAATCTATTCGTGCGAACCGATAGGATTAAATTCGCGTGTAAACAAAGTCGTGTTGCGTTTTGCGACTTTAATGTACTCTGCCAGCACCGACTCTCTATCGGTATTCGGTACCCCTGTATAAGGCTCCTTCGCCGCGATACATTTTGTCCCCTCCATTTCTTCAAACCCTATCGAATTAGGGTTAGCTAAATCTCCTATTTATTTTCCTTTTTAATTTTCACTTTCATGCCCTAATTTTCTCAAATTTTAATTAGGGTTAAGGAATTTTAGTTTCAATTCAAAATGATGCAACAACCCGGAGGAGCTGTCCCACCACCAATGTCAATGGACCAGCACCAGCACCAGCACCAGCAACAGCAACAGCAGTACCCGCCTCAGCAATGGATGATGATGCCTCCTCAAGCTCCACAAACCTGGGCCCAACAACCACCATTCCAACAGCAACAGCAGTATGGTGCCGCGCCAGCAAATGTTTCTGCTCCTGCAGTTGCCTCTGGTGGACCTGATGAGGTTCGGTCGCTTTGGATCGGGGACCTTCAGTACTGGATGGACGAGAATTATCTCACTTCTTGCTTCTACCATACTGGCGAGGTATATATATATATATATATATATATATATATATATTTGTTAAAAATTTTACGGAGTGTTTCAAATATTTTGTGTTTTTGATAATTTTTCAGTGTTAGATTTTTTGATTAATTTATGCAGTCTGTTGTGCATCTATTCTCACGATTACTGTGTATTAATGGAAATAAGAATTTTGCTTATGGGTTAGCGTTATGAATTTTAATATTCTATCCCTTGTTTAAACAATTTAGTTGTTTATCTATTGTGGTTTATCTGTTGTTCTGTGATCACCAACTGTCGCCTTCTATCTCCAGCTCGTATCTGCAAAGGTAATCCGTAACAAGCAAACTGGTCAGTCTGAGCATTACGGGTTTCTTGAGTTCAGAACTCATGCTGCTGCAGAAAATATTTTACAAACCTACAATGGCGCACTGATGCCCAATGCTGAGCAAACTTTCCGCCTGAACTGGGCTTCTCCTGGTGCCGGTCAAAGGCGCACAGATGATATGCCTGACTACACTATATTTGTTGGAGATTTGTCTGGTGATGTTACAGATTACCTCCTACAAGAGACATTTTCCAGCGTGTACTCATCAGTCAAGGGTGCAAAAGTTGTGACTGATAGGAACACTGGACGTTCCAAGGGTTATGGATTTGTTAAATTTGGGGATGAGGGTGAACAACAACGGGCTATGACTGAAATGAATGGTGTTCCCTGTTCAACTAGGCCCATGAGAATTGGCCCTGCTGCTAACAAAACACCTATGGTTACTACTACTCCAAAAGGTATGTTTTGCAGTAGTATCTTCTGCATCCATGGTCAATAATTTATGTTGATCTATCTCTTCAATTGGCTTGTTTATTTTTCCGAACTGTGTGGTGCATGCTGTAGAAAATTCAAAATTGCAAGTTGATTGAGCAGTTACCCCTTCCTTGATGTGCTTTTGGAGTTTATTTATGGCGTTTTCAAATTTAACGATCTTATAGATATGGTCTCGAAGATATCCAGACTTAGACCAAGTCATTTCCTTCCAGTACTTTTTCTAAACTTGGGCGCCTGTAGTTCTGTTGAGACTTGATAAAACTTATAAAACTCATGTTGTCTCACAGCAGGAAACAGAGGTTCTCATTTATGGGGGCCTGGAACTGATTTCAGCTGAAATGATTCCCCGTTAATGCATGGCCTCGTTTTAGGTCAGTTAACTTGTTTTGGTGATAAGCTTCCTTTTTTATCTTTTCTTTGTGGCGTTTCTTATGCTGCAATTCACTTATTTCCAATTCCGTATTCTTTAAGTTACAAGTCAATTAAATTAAATTTCATTTTCTTTGGAGATTACATTCCATTGCCTCTACATTTCTTATTGGTATTAGTCCACTTCTTTGTCGTTCTATTTCATCAATTCCGTCATGCAATTTTTGTTTCGTTTCCCAAATGCCTTCTAGGAGACCTCTTCAAAATTTAACTTACAGAATGGATATAGATGACTATATATAAAGTAAATAGACAAAAGTTTTTAGATGTGGCTTTGGTTTTACATTTCCCTGTAGTCATGCAACTTTCTCTTCCTCCTTCTTTAGCCTGCAAAAGTTTTTAAAGAAATGTTTTCTTTAATACAAGTATTTCTTTTAGTATAATCATTCCTTGAGAAGCTTTCTTTTCAATTTTGTAACTATATTGATCATTGGCTTTAATTGAATCGCCAATAAGCTGTAGAATATGAACTTTGACAGCTCTCTAAACATCTTTTGGGAACTTCTAGAACAGTCCAATTTATTGTTACAGTGATTTGCAAAAATTAGAGGTGTCCTTTTAGTTTCTCTATACTTCTATTGGTCATCTGGAATGTGAGTGGGTATGTAGTTATTAAACTCTTATATTTGTTTTTAATAGTTATTCTATTTCAATCATCACGAAGCCTCTAGGAAACATTGATCTACATAATTTGGGCATTCCTTGCTTCTTCTCAAATTCCCTTCTTTACCTGTTGATTTTTTTAGGTAGTGCACATTCTTAAGTTTTTGCAGGTTCCCCTTGCTCTCTATGAAAGTAAAATCTGTAACAAACCTTTCTGCTTGGGCATTCCTTGCTTCTTCTCCAATGCATTAGCTAATCCTTCAGAAATTAATGTCTGTGGTAATCTTATTTATTCCCTTTGGCAAATGGAAATCAGCAATGTGAGCAAGTTGGTATCGTAGGAACTCATTCCACCTACCACTTGGATTGCTGAAATGTTCAATCAAGCCGACTGTGCTAAGGACCCATTTCTTGGCAACTTGGACAACTTACAATGATGTTTGTCCAGCATATCACTAGCAAGATTAGACTCTTCGCAAGAGGCTTATGAAGCTTGTGCTGAATGGTGTTTTCTCCTCTCTTAACCTAATACATAATTCCATCTATAGAGTCTAACACTTCAACCATGGCATGAGATCAAGCTGTAAGTTGGTCTACTCTGTCGGTCAGCCTTTCCCTTCTTCAGTGGCCGAGTCAAAGTGTTTCACAAAAAATCTGCTCGTTGCTTTCATCCTATTGTATCTTTTGATTTTTTTCTTAGGAAGTGGTATCTCTATTAGTTAGAGAGCTCTTCACTACTAGCATAAATTTTAAGGAGTTTGTGCAATTGGTTTGTCGGTTGGCTTAATTACAGCATAAGGGCTTGTAGCCAAAAGTTATGTTAATACTTTTTTCTCTTCCTCTGCCCTACACTCCATCCATCCTCTCCCCAAATCTGAATGGTCCCACATTAAAAGGCCTTGGCGAGGACTTAGTGTCCACAACATCTAGTGGGATGGAAAAAGTTCATAATTATGTGCTGTGCTTTACATGAAAATCAACCTGATAGCCACATGATAGTGCAAATGCACGAGCAAATCAGCTTTGTGTTTGACTTCATGTTTAATTAAGGTCAACAAAGAAGATGAGTAAGAAACTCTCTTGCTTCTGGTTCTTGACCTTATGTTGACTTCATATTTGAAGGACCACATTTTTTCTTTTTTCTTTCTTCTCTCTCTCTCTCTTTTCTCTGGGTGGTAATTGCCGAGTCCGCATTTGGTCATGAAGTGGATTCGTGTGGCCATTTGGCTGTTGGTGTGATTCTAAGAGGCCATGGTAACGTGAAGAGAAGTGTTGATTCATATGGCATTTTACAAAACTTTAGAATCTTGGAAGTACTAGAACATCTCATAGTCTGCTTATCTATGATTAAGGACCTACTTGTGACTACTTGACATTGGAAGCTTTGTTGAGACTCGTTTTTATGGTAGTGAAAGTTGTACTGATGGCCCCATAACGAAGGATAGATTTTGCATAGATAATATTTATGTTTTCAAATTTAAATTAATGCATGGATAAAGAAAATTCAATGTGATTCTTTAGGAGAAAATGTGCAAGTTCTCTTGATCATTTCTGGAGTACAATCTTCAATCTTTTTTTTCAGACAAGAAGAATGAATTTTTGCGACACATATACCATAAGAAAGTCTGGATCCATAAATGCAATCAAATTCATAAATTTATGGATCTCTTCATAACAATGTTGATTTATTACGTGTCAATTTGTTCTTTGAGGCTTTATGTCGTTTCTTTCTTATTTAACTTGATAATATACCTCCCATGTATTATCCATTGATTAATAAAATTATTTGATTACTTATTAAAAAAAAAAAAATTGTTATTTGAGGCTGGTGCAGTCATATTGGCTGCTGTTGAGAGCCCGATAAAAAGTAACTTACATATTAAGTGGAATATTATGAATTTTGTGATCCTTCACACCTTTTTAACTGGTGTGGAGGCATAATTTCAGGCAATGGTGCTGTTTCTGTATGCTGGATAATCTAAGGTAAAAAGAATCTGGAGCTATAGGTGTGCATTTTTGGAGAAACTAATTAGATGCCTTCTACGCATGGACACATGTACATGTATTGCTTACAAAAATAAACTTTAGGTGCATGGTTGCACGCTTGCAATATTTTAGAATATTTGACCGTGGTTGTTATTGATGCCGATGTGCAATACAATTCAATTCTGCAACGGGAGCCCTCCATGCTATTGTTCATTCATATTCTAGGTCGTCACCGTCACAATTAATTCTTTGATGTACTTGCTCTGTTGTGATTGTAAACACACTGCTGTACACACGAAGAAGTTAAAGCAATTATTTTTCTTTCTTTGGGTGAAAGAATAGAATTATAGATTTTTTGTCTTTATTACACACATGCAACAGGAGGTTGTTGGACCATGTCCCTTTTCTGAGGTAGGCGAAACTACCTTATGCTTGGTGAAAATAGTTCTTTGTTTTGTGGGTGGGTGTGGGGGCACTGATTTATTCCCATGAAATGAGACACCCCCAGTTAAGGTAATAACATATGTCCATATTCTCGTTTTCGGCATTTGGTGCTTTCACATTCCTCTTAGATTCCATCTTGTCCTGGGTTTCCATAGTGATTCCTTAAAGATTTCGTTTAATGTTTATTCCGGCCTTCTTCACTTTCATATATCATTTGCAGCTTCCTTCCAGAATACTCAGGGAAATCAGGGCGACAGCGATCCAAATAATACCACAGTGCGTAGTTTTCTCTATTTATGTATTATATATCCTCTTAACTTTTATAGTAGTGACCTTCATTTCAAGTGACAAGTGCAGATATTTGTTGGTGGTCTAGACCCCAATGTTACGGATGACCATTTGAAGCAAGTCTTTTCCCCATATGGTGAACTAGTCCATGTAAAAATACCAATAGGAAAGCGTTGTGGGTTTGTCCAGTTTTCTAATAGGTAAGCATGCGCATGCATATGGTGTAATACGGTCTTGCAAGTTTTGCAGTTTAATTATGTATTTATTCTTTTCCATATTGTGCTCCAGGCCATCTGCTGAACAAGCTCTATCAAGCTTGAATGGTACCCAATTAGGTGGGCAAAGTATTCGCCTTTCATGGGGACGTAGTCCTTCAAACAGACAGGTTGTTGTCATAACTTTACTTTCGAGTTCTAGCATCCTGCTTGTGCAACTAGCGTTCTGATTTCAGTTTAATTTGTCTCAGTCAGATCAGACCCAATTGGGTGGCGGTTCATATTATGGTTACTCACAAGGGGGGTATGAAGCATATGGTAGCTATGCTCCACCTCAAGATCCAAACATGTACTACGGAGGCGCGGGATATGCAAATTATCAACAGCCACAGCAGGTATTCTTCCATCACAATTTTTCTCTGTTATCTACGCAGTGTGAAGGGTATACATTCACTTGATTTGCATGACACAGACATATCTATATATGTGTTATGTCTAAAATAGTGGTTAATCCAAATGATAGTGGTTACTCCCAATGGTAAATTGTAAGAGTAGAAATTTCTTTTCTTAAACGATGGGTGTATGTGGGAATAGATTTTATCTTTATTTTTGCAATGGATCCGAAACACCCGGTAGATGGCCAGTGGCACAAAGAAATGAAAGAATCAGTTTCATTTTTCACACGATCTCTTATAGGTAGACTCAAAAATTGATCATAGTTACTTTTGTATCACTTTTCCTATTTATTCTTTTCTATTCTTTTTTAATCGAGTAAAAATAAAATAAAATAATAAATAAATAAATTGAGTTATAAAGTATGAACTTCCCCCTTGTTGCAACACATCTTAAAAAAGAATTTCCCTTGGACCATGAGCACGGGAAGGAAGGATGAAATCGAGTTGTTATGCTAATTCCTCATCAGCAAACCTGATACACTGTGGCCGGTTATCCTTCAAATTTGATATTGGTAACTTTTTTGCGAATTGAACTCGTGGCTGACAAGAAGTGAATGGATTCGCTTTATTATTATTATTATTATTATTATTATTATTATTATTATTATTAATAATGTTATAGTGTTGGAGGATTCTGATTACATGCTGTAATTTTTGCAGTGATCTGCAATGGTCAGAATTCTTGGAGCTGTGGGAATTAGCTTTGATGTGTCCCTGATTAGCTTCACCAATGTATCCAGCTAGCATTACTGGTGGATAATGTTACTGAATTTGGTTTGTGTACTGGATGATGATGTGTTCTGCCATATTACTGTGGAGTCTGTTTACCATTTCCAATTTCATTTCCAATTTTAGCTTTCGGAGGTTTTGAGTGATGAATTTTGTTATGATTAAATGTTTGATTTTTAGTGTTTTTTCGACATTTGAACTGTCATGGCTTGAATTATATTTTGAATTTCCATGAGATAATGTGGGTTTACATGGAGTACGGTCACTATACTATAGCAATGGTTGGAGAAAAATTAGGGCAACGAGTTTGATTTGGATTAAAATCTGATTTTGATCTAAGTCAAAGTCAAACAATCAATATTAATTACATTTTTTATGAGTTACACAATTTGTCAAATATACATTTCAAAAACTTCTATCAAAATTTACTAAAAAGTCTACTTTAATTCTAACCAAACACCCTTTAAAAATGCCTAATCATGATCTTGCAATCGAATATTTTCGGAGTCCATACGATTCAAAAAAGGGTTGTTCTTGGGGTACATAAGGGTTATGTACTTGGTGATGTACACCAAGAACGATCTTTCAAACAAATCAAAGTGACTTATAATTTGGGACATAAAAAAACGAAATAGGTTTATTTTTGTGAGATGGACATAGTATTTTTATTTTGGATATTTAAATGTTCCCTAAAAAATTGTTCAAAAGAAGCTATATCCATTTTACATTGAAAGTTTATGAGTTTCAAAAATCAAGAAAATTTATTTGGAGATTCAAATGTTGTTGAGGAAAAATATTTGCCGATCACTACTAATTTTCTTTCTGAAAACGTTATGTGAACTATATACAAGTAAAATTTGCTACATAATTAAAAATTTTAAGAATTGGATTCGCATTGATTTTTATGGCATATGTATAACGTATAAGGATTTGTTTGCACTGCTGAAAAGTTAAAAATTATTTTTGAGATTCAAAAGTTATTTTGAACACGTTTGATTAAATTTTTAAAATCGATTTTTTTTTTTGCCAATTTAGAAGAAATTTTAAAAGAAGCTAATTTAAAATAACTTCTTAGTCTCATGAGAAAAAATCGTAGAAACCTTGCAAAACGAATCTTAAGATATAAACGTTTTAAGAAATTTGATGCTTTTGAAAATATTTACAAAGATGAATTATTAGTAAAATTTGAATTGAATATAATGAACCCCTCCCAAAATAGAAAAGATATAATCATAAAAATGAAACTAATTTGTCAAAAATCGAAATATTCTTTCAGATCCGAACGTTACGCGGAATCTTTAAACGTAATTCGTTAAATGACTGTTCAAAAGTTCGAAGGAAAACATCTCAGATAATTGTCTAGACGATCATTCACTGTATAATCTACTGAGAAAAAAATCATTTTTTTTTCCTGTTTTTTAACACGAAAAGAAATATCGGACAGAGGAACGAAAATTATGGAAATGCAATCGATGATTGTTGTGTTAACAGTGCTTTTAGTAGTAGGCACCGGTGCCGATTACGTTAGACCTCCGCCTCGTAAAACTTTGCACTTTCCATGGAGCCCTAAGCACTCATCTCATCCTCAACAGGTGAAATTCGATTCTCGCTGTTTTTACTTCTGATTTATATGTGGATTTTCCTAAGATATTATTATTATTATTTTATTTTTTTATGCTTTGAATTGATTTTTCTGGTTGTGGGATGTCTGGATTCGTTTTGATTTGTTGAAATAGAATGGGTTAATTGTTATTTGATTAACCTATGGGACTGTTAGAGTCATTGGACTAGATTTCTTCACACTGTTTAGGTGCATCATCATTTACCTGATTTAACTCTGTGTGATTGCATAAGATTTGCTCATGGTCGAATTATAGAGTTGAATTCTTTTCATGGAATCAAATTCTTCAAAAATAGAGAACTTTCTAAGAGATCGTTGGCATCAAAGTTCCCTAATTTGGAGATATTCTGTTGATCCTTTTTTTCTGTCAACACGTTGGCTTACTACTTGAACTGGCAATTGGTTTTCTTGAACTTCGTTGCGTTAATGTCCATTTCAGGTTCACATCTCGTTGGCAGGAGATAAACACATGCGGATAACGTGGATCACTATTGATAAATCTTCTCCGTCCTTCGTCGAATATGGAACGTCACCCCAAAGCTACAACTTTATAGCTGAAGGAGAGAGTACTAGTTATAGTTACTTCCTTTATAAGTCAGGAAAGATTCACCATACTGTCATTGGGCCGCTTGAAGATGACACTGTGTATTTCTATCGATGTGGGGGCAATGGTCCTGAGTTCCAGTTCAAAACCCCACCATCTCAGTTTCCGGTTACTTTTGCTGTGGCTGGCGACTTGGGTCAGACTGGATGGACAAAATCGACTATAGACCACATAGAGCAGTGCAAATACGATGTATATGTGCTTCCTGGAGACCTCTCGTATGCTGATTACATGCAGCGTAAGTGGGACACATTCGGGGAGCTAGTGCAGCCACTTGCAAGTGCGAGGCCCTGGATGGTGACACAGGGGAACCACGAGAAGGAGGAAATACCAATCTTAAAGGATGGATTCGTATCTTATAACTCAAGATGGAAGATGCCATTTGAGGAAAGTGGGTCTAGTTCAAATCTGTATTATTCATTTGAAGTTGCAGGAGTTCATGTTGTCATGCTTGGTTCCTACACAGATTATGACGAGTACTCTGATCAATATAGTTGGCTGAAGGTTAGTGGACAAAATATTTTCTTGCATGGAATATATTTGATCAATTCATTTTGTGTCTATGCTTTAGAGTAACAAGTATGGCATTCAGGTTTCATGGCTTTATACACGATAAGGGGTCAGGAAATTAATGCTGTAGGTATACTTAGTTGTTCGAATAATAGTGGATGATTTTGTGTATGGGCTAATTTTTTAACTCACGCGATGCAAATTATATTTCACTCTTGCAGTGCCTTCTGCTGCTTCTATCCTAAGACCAGTCTTTCTCTATCTCTAGTCTTACTGATTAAATATCGCTAATTGAGTATGAAAAGCTTACTACCGATCACCTTAACGCCTCACTAGCTCTACTTGGTACCAAAACACTCGACTATCTACAATGATCATTCTCAACAAGGTTCCAACTCCCATGTTGCCCCTTCACAAATAATCCAGATTATCTAGATTGTTTGTTTGGGTTCATTTTATACATCTCTTATGGGCATACGGCAAATAAATATCCAAGAGCTGAAACCTCTTTCCCATCGTCAAATAGACCGATAGGTTCACCTGACTTTGTTCAGGCAATCAAACTTTGCCGTGAATAAACATTGTATAGAACTAGATCGTGAAAAGGGAGTAACATTTTGCTATTATTGATGCATGATTTTTTGAGTTGATCTTGTGCTGATATAACTGAATTGTTTATGTAACTTCGAATTGTAGGCTGATCTTTCAAAGGTGGACCGTGAGAGGACACCCTGGCTCGTTGTAGTATTCCACGTGCCATGGTATAACAGTAATTATGCTCATCAAGGCGAAGATGACGACATGATGGCATCCATGGAACCGTTGCTTTATGCAGCTGGTGTGGATGTTGTGTTTGCTGGTCATGTGCATGCTTATGAGCGCTCGGTAAGCTACACCAGTGATAGCTTCCATCATTATATTTGATTTACGGGTTTTTGACTGATTAATTCTGTTGTGCAACAGGGACGCGTTTATAATGGTAAAACAGATACTTGTGGACCCATCCACATAACAATTGGTGATGGAGGAAACCGAGAAGGTTTAGCACACGAGTAAGTCGACTTAGTAAGATCTGTGCATTACAAAGCCAAGCAAGAAAACCACAAAACAGTTGTATCTGTAACTATAAATTTATTTACAGGTACTCGGAACCCCAACCTGAGTGGTCGATCTTCCGTGAAGCAAGCTTTGGTCATGGCGAGCTCAGGATAGTGAACTCGACTCACGCGTTTTGGAGCTGGCATAGGAATGATGACGACGAACCCATTAGGTCCGATCAAGTCTGGATAACCTCTTTGGTTGGTTCAAGGTGCCTTGCTGAAAGGAGTCATGAATAAAGAAACATGCTCATGGAACCTTAAATCGGTCGACGTGGGATTGTCTGCTTTCTAACTGGATGCACTCCTTAGGCATATGTAAATACTTGTCCTTTTGTTGGGACGGCCCAGTTTCTTTATGGATCATTAGCTCCAAACTTTTTCACCAGCATGACTACATTTGTAATATGGTAACAATGTGTTACTATCTTATCCGCAATATGTCCTATTCGGCCACAAGTATTTATTATCTTAGCAAGCCAACGTCCTCTACGATAGCTGATTATCCTCTCCATTATAATAAGTTGCAAATAAATTTCTCAAAGCAAATAAACATTGAAGCAACTAAGCAAAGCGAAGGGCAATTTGTAGTCAGATAATGCGGAAATTTTGTTCAATGAGAGACAACCATCTATACCAATCATCTTTTGTATGAAAATCGATTTTATGAGCTTACAGTTTATGGGATGCTCAGAGTTCAGAGGCTTTGTTCAATCTTTCATCCTTGCTTCGCCTCTGATCGCCTACCATGGATTCGAACACGTGCAAGAGACTATCTAATCCTTCAGAATCTTCCCCCAAAGCCTTCATTGCATATACAATGCTCTCGATTGTGGACAAATATCCAGCCCTTGGCTGATGTCTCACTTCACTATACAAGCTCAATTTATCCGTATCCAACCTTAAATGTGGCAAAAGTTTCAACCATGGGTTCTCACTGTACACTCTCTTTGCCTTGGCCCATGTTCCATCTAGCACAATCAAATTTCTCACCTCGAAATCTAATCCCTCAATGCCAACTGAGTTTTCGCTCGGAAATAGAAGCACTGATCCAGGAGGAACTACAGCTTCAAATTCTTCAGTTTCTTGGTACTCATTGCCCCCATCCAATGGCTTTCTTAGAAGCCTTTCTACAACAAACCCTTTTCTTATATCACCAATGGCTACACCAGAATTCAATAGAGCATCAAGACTTTCTGTCTGTTGTTTGTTTGGGTTCATTGAACAATGATAGAAGGATCTAATAGCTCCATACTTTTCAATGGTAAATTCAATAACAGTTTTTTTTGGACCTCGAGATGCTGGATTTTCTTTATCAAACACTTCGTCCATTACACCTGACTCTAACCTGGAATGGATGCTTTCACTCAGCATAGATGAATTTCGCGAGAAGACTGCATTGTTCTTGCAAATCTTACGCATTTTCACACCATCAAAATCAACAAAACCGAATCCCATTTCGCCATTTCCGGAAATTGAGGCTCCAACACAATCTTTCCTCTCTCTTTGACTTGACACTTGCCCCCAAAGAAGTCTGCTTTCTTCCAAATCATCTCGATCCATTTTATAACTCGGGTCTAGTAATCTAATAAGGAAACGAGCTTGTAAATTAACATCAGAAACCGAAATCACGTCGACATTTTTAAGCCCTAAAGTTGCGATTCTGGCAGAATTAAGAGGGTGCTTTTTCTCAAGGCTGTGTTGAAAAATGGTAACGGTTACAGAATTATCAAGCCTTGGTGTCTTGAGCCGCACACAGAGGCAAATACGGCTCGGTTTGGAGCATGATGGACAAGTTGGTCTCTTACTGGCTCCGCATTGAGTAACCATTTGGGGTATTAGGGTTTGGATTCGAGGAAATCTGAGGATTTTGCTACATAATGGATTGAGAAGGGAGGATAATGGCACGGATCCTGGTCGTAGTCCTATTGGGATCCGAACTTGGATTGACATTCGATCCAATCATTTCACGTTATGGGTCGATCCGATTGATAGAATTCAGAAACAAATTGAATAGAAATTGAAGAATGTCATCCGGAAACCCTAGATGGAGGGCAGTTGATTCGAAATTGAATACGACATCGTTTTGTAATTAATATTTTATCCTAACCTAATGAATCTATAGAAAAATGTACAAGTTACCTTTAAATTATATTTTACTTGTAAACATGTTTGAGTTCAATATTTATTAAAAAAATATTTATTTTGAAATAAATTCTTACCTTATTTTAAAGTTAATTTGTTGGGAAAGGGCACTTGAGCAACCCCCTAGGCATTGAGAGGGCCGTGTGGCACCTCCGTATTGGGCCACATGGAATTGTTCAACCAATTGGGTCTTAATTTGTTTCGAATTTTCAAGAATGAAAATTTAGGTTACACTAATCAAATGTGATCTATAATACACCAACTTAGATCAAATTTGGTTACTCTATTTTGCCGTCAATTTCACTAAGGGTGCGTTTGATTACAAGTAGGAAAATTACATGGAAAGAAAATGAATTCCAAGGAATTGAATTACCTAGAAATTGTTTTCATGGAAATTGTAAATTATTGTCTTTGATTATATAAATTTTTCACGTGGAAAATGTTGAAGTAAAAGTATTTTTTGATGTTCGTTTGACTTTGTTTTACGTGGAAATTGTCAATTTCAGGGATATCATCTTTTACAATTATTCCTAAAATTTGTTCCCATTGCCAACAATTAAAAAAAAATAAAAAAAGCAAAAAATAAAAAATAAAAAAAGGTGGAAAACCAAAAACCATCTATCCCCTAGGAAAAAAAAAGGTGGAAAATCACGCTTTAAGGTGTTGTACCTAGAAATTCATGGAAAATCAATTCCCTGAAAAATTTTGTCAATCAAACAGGCCAAAAGTGGAAGTTGGAATTCGAATTCCAAGTTCCATGGAAAATTTCGTGCAATCAAACGGGGCCTAAGATAATATCTGACTTGAAAGTTAAAACTAACAGAAGGCCAACGTGTATGCTTGCATCACAATTCACCCAACAGTGTGATTGGATTTTTTGTCATCAAATTCACTTTTAAAAGAGTGAAAACAAAATTTTCAATTCATATAATTTTAAAAATGTATTTCGAAAGCATAGGTGTTTTACAGCATGTTTGAAAGGGATTTTATACCCAAAAAAATTGATTTTTTGACCGTTATTTCACTATTTCAATCGTAATTTTTGACTTCTTTTCTCATAAATGGACCCCACTTTTTTTCTAACGATCAAAAAATCAATTTTCAAAATTCCTTTCAAACGTGGCCTTATTGTCATGTGACGTTGACATAATAATACTATAGTCTCCTAATTTTTTCATATTTTTAATTAATACATTTTTAAAAATAATCACTTTTAATAAAAATCTATTTTCAGAAAATTTACACAAACCAAATTGGAAAGAAACCAATGGAGTGTGGTGTCCACGCAGACACTTTCATGACCAAATCAATAAGATACCTTACCCCCACCAAGAATGTCATTCGAAGTTCAGACCTTTAGCCTAATGACAAGGGTAAATTGGACATTTTACAAGAATATTTCTGGCCCGATAGCCCCGTAACGGAGTTGGTGACACGAACATTTGACCAACTGAAACCAAACCACACGCCATTGCTGTTGAAAATTTTCCTCTGAAATTCTCCTAAATTTTCGAAAATTTGAATATTTTACAAAGGCCCAGTTGTTGAAAATGCATGATTTTTGCTTTACAATCCCATACGGGCTGATTCTGGTGTGCGGTGGGATCATTGGATATGCCAAGAAAGGCAGCACAGCCTCACTCGCCGGAGGACTTGGCACCGGATTCTTGCTCATTCTCGCCGGTTATCTCAGCCTCCAAGCTTTCCACAAGCGCAAAAACTCCTATTTTGCCTTGATTATTGAAACTGGTACTGCTTATTTTCTTCAAGCATACTTATGGAAATTATTAATATGGGATTTTGGTAATTAATTGTTTTGAGATTATTTGATGTCTATCGGAGAATCTTGCATTTAGCCGTATCCGGTTAAATTATGTGGCTTGGATCTAATTGTAGCAACTATAATCAAGAAATTAAGAAGACAACTATAAAATTTTGTGTGGATCTGGGAAAAATGAATTTGGTTTCTGCTAGTATTAAAAAAAAAAAGGTGATTTGATGTCATCTTGTTTCTTCTTGCTATTTATGCAACTGAAATAGGAAACTCTCTCATCCAGATGCTGTGCTCATAGATATTTAATTTGTTAATATGGGACTGGCTTTTTAACTCGCTTATCTCTGTGAATTTCAGGTTATTGTTGCACAATGAAAAATAATTTATAGAATATCAAGAGCATATGTTTTGTCAGTGTTAAGTGCTGGATGTAGATTTCACACTAAATTGTATGAAATTTGACCCTGAATCTGAAAACTTAGAAGAATAGTGGTGCTTCTCATGTCCAACTATTCAAGAAACGAATATCGCTTTGCATCGTAGCTTTTTCTCATCCACCGTTAGAGTTGAATCAAAATGGAGGAAGCTCTTTAATTGTCAAATTTCTTGAGTAATTTAGGGCTTGTTTGATGTAGATTTTTTGAGAATAGATTTGTGAAAAGTGATTCTTTGGGAGAATATGTGTTTAAAAGTAGGAAAATTATGAGTCCAGGTGTAAACTTATTTTATTGGGAGAATGTGATGAAAATGAGTTTTAAAGAATTTTTACTACTCGTGGGCTTAATGTCGTTGTACCTACTTTTGTTCTTATGAATTTTACATTGTCTTAAACAGTTTGTGCTGCCATACTTACTTGGGTCATGGGACAGCGTTACATGCAAACTTCAAAGATAATGCCTGCTGGCATTGTTGCGGGGATCAGGTAACTGAAAATGAATAACTAGCAGCTTTGCATCTGGTCTTTTGTATTCAAACTTGTATTGTTTTGGAGTTGGTGCATTCATTCCTTTTGTTTTCTCATAAAAAGACTTGGGATGCATATTCTTCTCAGTATAGCAGCTCTAATTCATCTTTATGCTGGTTGGCTTCATGCTAAAATATTCATATTGTATAATTTGACGTGTTTAATTTTTCTACATACCACATGTCATAGCCGTAGTTTCCTTGTTATAGCAAGGCGTAAGTTACATTTCAAAAATGAAAAGTGCAATAAGCAGAAAAACTTTCTGAAATCCTTGAAGAGTTGAATATTTTTGTAAGACAGATGAATTTTTTATTTTTTAGGGGAAGATTTGGTGGTGCACATGGTTTTACCTGTTCTAAATTCCTTATTACTCTCTACTAAAAAAATCTGAATACTCTAGGACGTGTGTGCCTCAGTTGGAGTTTCTTTGTCCATTCGCCTTGAGATGCTGCAAGTAGGGATATTGAAGATCAATAGATGATTGATCATGCAGATCTATTAGTAAACATATTTCCATAAATTGTATTTAAGCTTAGCTGAAAGGACATGTAATGAAATTAAGCCTAGGAAACCTAAAAGTTAATTCTGAAAATGGGGAAAATGACTAAAATCCACGAGTTTCTGATTGCAAATTGTTGAATTGGTGGGAAGAAGTCCCAACTTCTGTCGTGATCTCTATTTTGTTTGAGAATGTTGTCTAAGAAGGTAAAGAGCTTTGTTTTTGAGTGGCATCGCATACTCCGTTTCATGTTGAACGCCCTTAGTTTATTCTGATTGGTTTGCTTTTCTAATGTCGTCTGCAGTGTCCTCATGACCATATTCTATCTGTACAAGATTGCAACTGGTGGCAATCATTTCCCGCCCAAGACTGAGTAATGATATGTAGCGTCTCTGCCTATACTGATTCCATACTGTTATATACTGAGGAACAATTACCCAAAATCATGGATTTGTCGATCTTTCTGGCTAGTCTTTTTGTTGTGTTCTCTGAGTAGAGTGACTGTATTAATCGAAGGATGCTTGTATTTCCTTGACTGTTAATCCAACTGTTTTCACTACTTCCTTGATGCAACAGTATTTTCATTCCCATGGCGAAAGGAATTTGTATCCTGTCATACAGAGCTTACAGTCTCTTGTTTGAAAAAGTCGAAAAACATGAAGAATTCAAAGGATTTTTAAACTGTGCAACATGAGCATTAATGGATATTGTTTCCTCCCCTTCAATCATTTTTCATTAAATTAGCAAAGAACAAGAAACATTTCAAGCTTTTTTTTAAAGAAGTATCAAGATTAAATTCGTATAAATTGATTTACCAGTTATTTAATATTGAAAATAGTACAAAAATAAGTTACAACTAATAGTTATACCAAAATAATTCAATTATTGATTCTATAAATCAAAATTAATCATATTTTAATTGGAATCAAGTTGAATTGGCTACTTCAATTTGATTTGGTCTGATTAGTGTAATTTGGGAAAAAAAATTTGCACCCTAATATTGAATCTAAATCAAATGACATAGAACTAAACTAGTTGAGTCTACTCAATTTTAGTTTGGTTAGTACGTCTTGAATTAAATTTGTCCACCTTATTTTAATACTTCATCATTACATTTGCTTTACAGGCATCGCATGAACCAATAATTTTCAGTGATTTACATGACTCAAACTTGTATAAATGGTCGGGATATAACAACAAATACACAATTGTTCAACACCAATTTTGAACAACACGTTTGCAGCAACTTTTCAAAAATTAAAACAATTTCTCAATATCTATTTCACCAAGTACCAAAATCTCCAGAGCAATGATCTGTGTCAGTAAGTAATGAAAATTACACATGTATAGCTATTTCAGTTCGATCCCAATATCTAACTGCGCTGTCTAGAACAAAAAAAGTCACAGTAATTTAAAGAGGGGGAGAAATCTCGGTCGCCCCGTTGCCCAATGAATTTCTTTTAATTCGAATGCTCTATGTTCTAAACTATGCTGATATACCTGTAGCTTCCTTCGGTATCAAAAATAGGAAACAGACTGGGATGAAGATGCAGAAAAACTGAATAATGATTCCCAAGATAAGTTTGTCGAAAGAACCCGAGGAGATATTCAGAATTGAAGCCAGTCCTGCACCTACGAATGATCCAATTGTTGATCCTAAGTTGTTAATAGACATAAAGAGCGCAAATAAAGTTCCTTCAACCCCAGGTGGACAAAGCTGCCCTGATAAGATGAGGAAAGGCATGAACCTGTGATGAAATAGAGATTTGGATTAGTTTGATAACTGTAAGATTTTTGAGATTCATCGCTTACATATAGATAGCCAAGCAAGTGAGTACATAAATTCTTTATCTGGGTGTAATAATCTACTGCAATAAAATCGACTTCCAATATCAAATGTGAAGTACATACTTAAATTGATTGATGCCATCCGCGAGAGCTGAACCAAAAAGCACCATAACCTTGTCTGATATGCCTAATGATATATTTGATCTAGACACCAAAACTACATCCAGAAGAATCAAAATAGACAACCCAATATGAGCACACCTGCGATAAATACATAGATATCAAAAGAATAAGCAATTTAGAAAAACAAATCCCATGATCATCTCTTCATTTAACTTTAAGAAAACATATAAAAAATCTGGGTACAAGATCAACTTACAATAGAATCCTTCTCAATTTCATCTTCTGCAAGAACCGGTTATAAATAAAGGTTCCAATCATGAGGCTTAACCAACCAATAACACGTGTTGTGCCCAAGAAGGATGCTTCCAGTTTCAAAATTTCTGTCTGGTAATAGAACATGACAGTTGATAGGTTTGGAAATGTCACATGTGCGAGGAAAAACCAAGCCATTGGTCTAGACTTCCCAAAGAGTATGAGCACCAGAAACAATCATTAGCATGATAAATCAACCCACAAGAATAAAAGAGAGAATAAGAACATAACAATTTAATACAGGAAATTGACCTAGGTTCGAGTATTATTGGGGGATGGGGGAATAAGGTGAATTTTCTTTAAAATAGAGTATGATAACCTGCATACTTACATCAATCTCAGCGCTTCACTATAGCTTTAGACTTTTATTGCTATTGACTCACCGAAAGCAGTAACATTGTCATCCGTTGCTAATTTAATTATCTTCATAACTAGAATTGTAACCTTTTCTTTGTAGAGTACAATATTGACAAATTCAGAGTGTAGGTCAAAGGGTGGCTCTACTTGTCTGATGTTTACCTCAAAAATCCAGTTCATCTCTTTAATGGAGCCTTATTTATATGCATCCATAAAGTGATTACAGAAATAAATAATTTCACGCGTTCACATTCGCACACATTGATTTAGTATATTTCCAATGTAGAGCAGTAAAGTGACACAAGTTAGTCACAACCTAAATATGAACCAGCTGGATTGAAAGAATTACCTTAGAATGATTGGCTGCCGAAAAGCCCTAAACAATGTAAAAGTGGCCATTTTCAGAGAATGAAACCATCGTTTTGCCCAGGATCTGTCTTTTTTAGATACCTGGGATTTATTCACGGTAACTGTTCCATTTTTGGTATTTTTCTGGCTCTTCTTTCGCTTCGAAACACTGTTGGACCTCTCAGCAGAAGTATTGTCTTTGCGAAAAGAACTACCATTCATTGAGTGGGGGCCTCCATTTGAAGTAGAATGTTCGGGAAAATCTTTATTGTTTACAGAACTCTCCTCCACTAAACAACAAGAAAATAGCTGGATGGTCGGCAATGCTGAAAAAAGTAAAAATATTTTATTTATCTGTAAATTAGTTAGTGCATATCCTCCAAGCAAACTCCCACAGATTCCTCCCAAAGCCATTGTCATCCAAGATATGGACTGAAGATCACCAGCAAATGAGGCCCTGTTCATGTATACTCATAAGAACTTAATTCATGCAAGCTGATAAAAAGAAAAATATACACAAGCATGCAGAGATAGAGAGCTTCAAAGAACAAAGGATCATGTACAAGCTAAGAAGCACAAATGTGGACAGGTTGACACTGGATTACTTTAAAAAGTAGGATACTCTCACCCATCAATTTTAATTCTTTAAATAAGTAAATTTATATAATATATTTTACTTTTATACAATTATATATATATATTTTTAATAAAATCAATACTTTTTTACTTTTGTTTTTGTTGGTAAATTCTTTTAAGTCGTATTAGTAGCCATTTCGTATGTTGAAATAGCTTTCAATTGAACTATTTATTACTAGTAGGTGTAAAAAAGAGCATGAAGTTCCTGTTGGAAACATGTCTTGGAGTATCCTAGAAGCGTTAGTGTTTGACATGATACATGTTGGAAATGGACACGCTACGACCCTAGTAGTTTCCATGCTTCATAAAGTACAAGAATGTTAAGCATACTGAAATAGTTTTAAGTACCCCAACAATAGATACAAACATAGCCCCTGTTAGGGCTCCATTTTTTATTTTTTTAAAACTCATTTTCGACCACGCATTCTCCTATAAAATAATGTTTCGTGTAAACCCAAAATTTTCCTTACGTTTTAACCACACATTTTCTAAAAAATCACTATTCCAAAACACATTTTCTCCCAAAAAAAAAAAAAAAAACATTATAATGGAGCCCATAGAGGGGCGTAGATCCAACTTTTATTATTTGATTGATGTTTGGGGGCTGATCAATGTGTCAAATTAATATAATGCAAAGTCACAAACGATGATAAAGCTCAGTGTTTTGTAGTTTTGACAATCTGTCACACTACGGCTCTACAAAATTGCAATTAATTGAGATCAGAGTACCTGACCGAATCCAAAATTATAAGACCAATCAATCAAATCAAGATTTCATGAATAAATTTCCAGGATTAAAAAGAAAGTCGTGTTTTTTTTGTTTTGAGTGCAAAGTTCAAGCTTTGATCATTAGCCTGAATCTGTTACCTTTGCATCAAATCAACATTTCCATCTTTGCTGCAAATATCACTGACTTGGAAATTCTCAAAAACATTTGATGTTCCCCAGTCAAGCTTTTATGTCTATACAGAAATAGTAAACCTACAGGTGCACTCCAACCACTTCTGTATTGATAGTTACACAAATACGGATTCGGATTATTCAACTCTAATCTGACATCAAAAGGAACTTAACTTGCAGTTGGTGATCAATTTACAAGAATTGAACCCTTGGACAATAACAAGCAGCAAACTAGTCTGTAAAATTAGTCTGAGGGCTAATTTTCTGCCCAATAGCCGAATACATCACACGTTTCACAAATTGAGTATATAGCTAATTAAAATCTTGCCTAACTTTGGCCAATTTCCTACCATATCTTATGTTTCACAATTTATAAAGTTAAAAAATTTATCATCTTAAACAGAAATATGTGAATGGAAAATAACATAGCATTGAGAGAGAGAGCGAGAGAGCACATATTTAATAATGGAAACGTACCGTTCAGATCTTACTGCTTCAGCTATCATGGCATCAATTACAACA